ATTTTCTGAGTATCTTATCCAGCGCTTCGTGAATTATGAGATGCTGCACTTTGGTTGGTGGTAACAGGCAGTAGTATTCCTGGCCCCTTAAGAACTTTGGGGATTATTTCCTCTAATTTTTTGGGTGGTTATCTTCCCAGGGTGCGTGTTTTCCTCACACACACAAAAATGTGCTAATCAATAGTCAGTTGAAGACTCAAGAGGGATTCTTGGCAAATTTCTGGAAATCTCTCTCTGCGTTGCTTTCTCTTGTTTGGCACTCAGCCCTGCAAATTCTAGACATCTTGTCCTTCCTGTACACCCAGTTCCATCTGCTCAACTCACAAGAATTTCTAGGCTCCACTTGAATTCCGCTTCCCTGAATCATATCCTGGACCCTCTTTTCTTTCTTGTCTCTCAGAGATTTCTTTTCATTGCCTGATGTCAAACCTTTTAAAAACCCTTTTTGCATGTGTTTTATACACTTTTTGTCATTTTAGATGGGATAAATCCAGTCTCTGTTACTCCATCTTGGCCAGGACTTAGAGTTCCATTGAAAATTTTAATAATAAAGCAATGAAATATTACTATGGCATGTTAGTATGCTATTAGAGAAACCACACAATAAGACACATGATAATGTATTAATGTTTTGCTTATTTTGTAGACTTTTCAAAAGTGTGTGTGTTATCTCTGAATATGTTAAAAGCCAAAGGGTCTGTAATAAATTGCTACTAAATTTTAGGAAAAAATTTATTCAAACTTAGAAAAATATTGGTTCAAATAAATGAAGCAGTTTTTGGCTATTTATTGGTTTTAAATGTTTTTTTATTTTCTCATGTCCTACAAGAGTGATTGTAATTCTATATCATGTCAATTTCTACCATAATAAATAGTATATTCTGATCTGGAGTCTGAACTGTGAAAAAAGTTGTGCTACTTCTTTAGAAGTAAACCAATATAAAGACTTAGGGACATAAAAACAATTTTATTGCCTCTAATGCTGGATTTATAGGTTTTTTAAACATTCCCGTTCACTTTGACTCAGCTCAACAACAAAGAAGCATAACGTTTGATACTGAGGATTTAAAGGCAATGGGGATTTAAAGGATTTGAAGATATTGTCACAGCCTTTATTTTATATTCCAGTGGTCAGATATAATTATGTTATCAAACATAAACTTTGAAATTTTTCATCCCAAGAAAACATGTAGAATTATTTTATCTTTCTACTTTCCTATTAATTTCTACCAAAAGATCCAAGGGTATTGATTTTAGGCGTGTCTGTCTATAGACGCCATCAATACCCAAAGTGAGAACTTTCTAGAGGTGGAGGGGCTAGAGAATCAGAAAATAAAAGAATAATGAGGACTAATCATTTCAAGGTTACTAAAAGATGACCTTAATTTTTTTCCAAATTAGAAAAGCAATAAGCCTTACATCACTGAAAATATTTAAGGCAGAGTTGAGTGTGTATATATATTACTATAAAGGTCTTTGAATGGTTACTTACAGAATAAGTAACCATTTTATTTTAGCTTTCCAATCAAGAGTATTGCTCAGAATTTATTATGGGTTATTTTAAATAGGAAGAAATTTTCTGCAGGAAAAACTTGCACAATTTTCAGAAAGCTAGATGAATCAAGGTCAACAAAGAAAACTTAAAGAAATCCAGAAGCTGAGGAATTTCAGCAAAGCCATCTCAAGTATTTCAGATACCTGTGGCACCAACATGAGTAATTCCCTGTAAGGTGTCTGGAAGCCATGGGTGAAACCCCGTGCTGGCTGTCTGCCAATGCCCACTCACCTGCCTACAGCTGCCACCAGAAGATAATTACTTCTCCTTCTCTTCTGCTTTCAAATCTCATGTAAATGCATCTCACTGGCAAAATTTAACTAGATCAGGCTGGCAAGAAAACTGAGAGATGCAGCTTCCAGTCTTTATGCCTATACTGAACAGGAGAGAGCTCAGAAAAGTGGTAATGGTTTTAAGTATCAACAAATTGTATCCACCTCAAAGTCCACAGTTTTAGACACCTGTACAATGGATATTCATGGGAAGAGAATGAGGAACTCAAATTTATTCAGCTGTCCATCGCTCCAGTAGCTCATCTATTAACCCAACCATCCATCCATCCATCCATCCATCCATCCATCCATCCATATATTTAATCATTCCACAGACAATGAATGAGAATTGTGTGCTTATCAACCACTGATGTACAGTCCACAGGCAAAGTATTGGACAGTGATTTCAGTTTTTTTTTTTTTTTTTTTTTTTGACAAAGTCTCATTCTATTGCCCAGGCTGAAGTGAGTGCCGTGGTGTCAGCCTAGCTCACAGCAACCTCAAACTCCTGGGCTCAAGCAATCCTTCTGCCTCAGCCTCACAAGTAGCTGGGACTACAGACATGTGCCACTATGCCTGGCTAATTAATATATATATACATATATATATATATGTGTATATATATATATACATATTTTTAGTTTGCCAATTAATTTCTTTCTATTTTTAGTAGAGTCGGGGTTTCGCTCTTGCTCAGCCTGGTTTTGAACTCCTGACTTTGAGTGATCTACCTGCCTCGGCCTCCCAGAGTGCTTGGATTACAGGTGTGAGCCACTGCACCCGGTCAGCTTTTTGTTGTTGTTTTTTTAAATACACGTGACAATCAAGACAATGAGCTTATGATGCCATCTGCTATATCCACAGGTAAGAGCTAAAATCGAACATTTTACATGTACAGTTGTCCCTTGGTATCCATGGGGGACTGGTTCCAGGGACACCCACATATACCAAAATCTGTGCATACTTGAGTCCCAGTGGAACCCACAAATATGAAAAGTCATCCCTGTCTATACCCGGTTTTCACATCCCTCGAATACTGTATTTTCCATCTGCATTTTGTTGTGAATGTAGAACCACTGATGCAGAGAGACAACTGTTTGTATTGGGAAAATCCATGTATAATTGTTGTTCAAGGGCCTACTGTACTCGTTTCACCACTGATTTTTGTGAATCACCACTGAGAATGACCACATTGCAATGAAGTATAAAAGAACATAACATTCTTCTTGTTTTCCAACTGTTTTAGTCTATTTTTATTACTTATGACAGAATACCTGAAACTGGGTAATTTATAAAGAAAAGGAATTTATTTCTTGCAGTTGTGGAGGCTGAGAAGTCCAAGGTTGAGGGGCCACATCTGGTGATGGGCTTCTTGCTGGTGGGGACTGTCTGCAGGGCATCACATTGCAAAGAGCCAGAATGTGCTCACTCAGGTCTTTCTTCCTCTTTTTCTAAAGTCCCATTCCCATGATGACCCAGTAATCTATTAATCCATGAATCTGTGACTAGACTAATCTATTCATGTGGACAGACTCCTCATGACTCAATCACCTCTCAAAAGCCCCACCTTTCAATATTGCCACATTGGGGATTAAATTTCAACATGAGTTTTAGGGGACACATGTATTCAAACCATATCGCCAACTATTCAAATACTTAGAATGCATAAAAAATAGACTTTGAATGAGGTAACTGGATGACTGTGAGTTATCATTAATGGCTTACCTTTGCATTTCTAGTATTTAGCAGAGCAATAGATTCATGCTTAATCTTCAGCACATATTGTGGAACAGTTAAAAAGTTGAACTGCTGAAAGATCTATCAGGATCTTTACAGTAGGAAACTCATAGGCTATGTAAGGAAAACTAATATGCTAGTGGAGTTACAATACCATGGCTTCATGCTATAATAAAAATAAGTAATAAAAAAGCAGAGTGCAAGCTTATGCAACAGAGAAGCTAAGCTCCCTGCCTGAGTACTTTAGAGAAAGCTCTTTAGGGGCAGTGATAATGGAAGTGGACCTTGAAGGATGAATAGGAATTTGCCTGGTTCTGGGAATGAAGGATACAACAGGCTGGAGAAATTGACTGCAAATATAGACAGATGCAGAAGTCAGACAAGTGTGTGTCAAAAGGGATCCTGAATCATAGGGGGACTGGAGGTGTTGATCCAGGAAATGAGGCTGGACAGAAAATCTGAGCCGAATTGGAAAGTCTTATATACCATGCTAAGAAGCTTGGATTTTGTTCCCTGTTCAGTGGTTTTAGGCAGGGAAATGACACGATCCAGTATGCACTTTAGAAAGATAAAGGTGACCATGTGGGAAAATGGAAGGAGATTAGTTGGGAGGCAGCTGCAAAGCAATAGACCACTTGTGCTAAGGTGTGGTAGTGGGAATGGAAAGGGAAGGACAGATTCAGTGATGTTTTGGAAGTGGTACAATTAATAGGGGTTAAAGGAGAGGGAGGATTATGGACAACCCATTGTCTTCTAGTTTGGGCAATGGACCAAATGGAGAGTTAGGTTGGAACCCCATACACACACATCCCCAGTATCAACTCTGTAAGACCACTTTGCAGACACTAGGGTAGCATTCAATAGATCAGATGTGATGCAACCTGTTTTCTTTCCTCTCTAGAGTCTCCACTACTCATTATCCTCTACTCTGAAAACTGACTAGGAAGCCACACCTGACACCTACGTTTTCATTTTCCTTACTGCTCTCGGGAGATGAGCGTTAAAAGTGTTATTTCTCCTTAAGAAACATGCTGCTAATCACTCATTTAAAAAGTAAAAATAGCCGGGCGCGGTGGCTCACGCCTGTAATCCGAGCTCTCTGGGAGGCCGAGGTGGGCGGATTGCTCGAGGTCGGGAGTTCGAAACCAGCCTAACCAGCATCTCTACTATAAATAGAAAGAAATTAATTGGCCAACTAATATATATATATATACAAAAAATTAGCCGGGCATGGTGGCGAATGCCTGTAGTTCCAGCTACTTGGGAGGCTGAGGCAGGAGGATTGCTTGAGCCAGGAGTTTGAAGTTGTTGTGAGCTAGACTGACGCCACGGCACTCACTCTAGCCTGGGCAATAAAGTGAGACTCTGTCTTAAAAAATAAATAAATAAAAAGTAAAAATAAAAAATAGAGGTGTCTTCAATTTTGAAAAGCTTACCTAGCTTTAAATGTTGTTCCTGGAGATGTTTCCTGACTTCTGTCCAGGATGATGCATAGGAGCCTCACTGAACTCCTGGAGTCATCTTTATCTCCAAGGGTGGGGTTCGTGAGCCGTTTTCCCCGTGTCAGACCTTGTCTGTGCTATGATGACCCATTTTTCAATTAGGTTTCCATCTCTTTCAGATAGGCCTGCAGATGTGATCAGAATAAAAGAGTAGGTTGGAAGTTGTTTCTTTGTTGCGTCTTGGTTGTCTCAAGTGAGCAATTAGCATTTTCGGGGAACCACAACCTAGGAGTTGGAACCACGTATGTCTCAGTGGTACCACAGCCCCTAGTTGATGTTCCTTTATTGTGGCACGAGAAACCTAGTGGGAGAAAATAAATGAATTACTGAGAAGGATGAGGAATGATAAAAAAAAAAAAAAGTTCCTCTTTGGAAAGTTTAGATTTTGTAAGCTTCCTAACAGTTGCTAAAAATTTTTAATAAGCGACTAGAGGGGTTATTAATTAAATTGCTGCTTCCAGAATGGTGTGAACTTAAATAAGGAATAGTGTGAGAACTGCCTCTGAGACTCAGTATTATTCTTCTAACAATGAAAAATATAAAGATTTCTTAAAATACATCTTCTTAAGGAGAACCAGAAAGAACCTGGAATTAAATATCTGAAAAAGTGAGTTTTGGTTCTGACAGCCTCACTAGCAACCTCTATAGCTCTGGGATATATAACATCCTTAGAGTCTTGGGTGTTTTTCATCTCTATGATGAGAAGGTTATGCTAATTATTTAAAGTTATCCAGATCTGAAATGCTACCATTCTATCTTTCCATTTTCCTTGAGTGCTTCTTTAAAAATAAAATTAATGAAAATCAAGTCACCTCACAGCCATCCAGAAATAAGTGGTCCCACTCATTCTATAGACACACATTTTTTACTTTCAAATATATGTGTGTTTCACTTAAATTTGGCCTTTGCATACCCTGCTCTCTTATTTTTTTATTTTTTATTTTATTTTGGAGATAAGCTTTCTTTTCTATATATTAATACAAGCTTAGGACTGTGCAGTGATTATTAACACAGCAGCCAACAGGTGGCACTGCAGGCCTGTGTCAACTTAAGTCTCAGTCACTGCTGTCTCTGCTTTTTTTGCAGTAATAGAATATCTACATCTCTGCATTTCTTCAACCTGAAAAAACAGGGTCTGGTGAAATGGCCTAGTAGGCCACCAATAAATATAAACCCCAACGATCAGTAATATATGTTAGCTGCTTGCAAATGAATCTGACTGTGGTAGAAAATGTACTACCAAAAAAGTTTGATGCTTATAGATGCCCGTATATATCAAAAAAGGAGATTTGTATACATTAAAAGGCAGTATTCCAGCCCAGAAACATGTAGCATGATGCTATACATGTCATGGTAGAGACCAGGAAAAGTATTACAACTATTTAGGTTTCACCATTCATCAGCCAAGTTTGCAACGCTACCATTTTTAATCAAAGAAGCATGGCATGATAGTATCCTTGGCAATAACTAAATATGAACAAGGTCATGTTACAGATAGGGTAGCAGAGTCCCAGAAATGTTGGATCTCTCTGAAACCGTGGCTATTTAATAGCAGATCCCAAATTATAGTTGAAGTTTGTCCTAAACCCACACTGTTGCTGGAGAACGCTAGCTCACTGCGGGTAAATCCCAGGCTCAGGCAAATCCCCAAGTCTCAATTTCCCCATTCAATGAAATCAATCCATCAACCAATTAATCTTTGTGACTTACCTGAGTTCATATTCACTAGGATAGGTTATAAGCATTAGAAAACTGTTATTCTATTGTTGTCAGTATAAGAAAGTAAGCTTGCTTTATAGTCCAGTAAAACAATCTGGCAGACACCCTTTTATGACATATTCTATACCTCTTGGACAAGTTGTGCCAAATAAAGAACTTACATAGAATTCCTTTCTTCAGGATCAATAAACTAACAAAGAGTGCAGCTGGTTAAGCCTTCAATCTACAGAGGAGCAGAGGAGCTAGCAGTGAAGGAGGAGGGTGAGTTAACATCTGCTTTTCCTCTCTCTGTCATTAAGAAAGGGGCCTCTTTAGGAAAATTCCTGGGCTCCTGCTTGCTCCAGCCAATCTGCAAAAGGGACTGATTCCTGACTTCCAAAGGGGACTGGTACTGACCTCCCCCTCACCTCTAACTTTCAGCCTTGCCAACTCCTGGGATCCCAAAGAGTGGGCAACAAAGACTATCTTCACTCAGATTAGTCTGTCTGTTTTCTAAATTATTCTTGATCAAAATGGTTTAAGCAGCTGCCCAGGAATGTTGAGGAGCAGAAACTGGAGATCTGGAGAACTGGCTCAGTTTATCATCATCTTTCTCCTGTCTCATCTCAGAAAAATTGACTCTGTGGGAAGTTCCTGCAAAGTATAATGCAGAAAGAGGGGATTATCTGTCTGCCAAGTGCTAATTAATAATAATAATTAATAATAATAGGTAATACTATATATATAAAGTATATTTCTCCTTACCACAACATTAATGACACATTTTAGTAATTCCTTTTCCAGCTGAGAAAACTGAGATTCAGATAGGTTAAATTACTTGTTCGAAGTCAGAATCTTAATAAATAACCAGTATACTAGCTGCAAGTGACTCATACCACCATAAATGGTGGATCCAGAATTCAATTTCAAGTTTGTCTGACTCCATTGCTAGTGGGTTTTTTGCTAGTGAGCTGACTCAAGTATAGAACCATTGCCTGGAAGCATAATAATCTGGAAGAATATGATATTTTTAAATGCTCAGCCCAGCTGCCTTAGGCTAAAGTATAACTCCTTAAGATGAATTATTTCATTAATGACCTTTTAAAAAATAAATCTGTTGTGTTGTTAATAAAGAAATGTATAACAATTTGAACACATAAAAGAAATACGGTGCATAGTCCCATTGTTGCAATACAAAGCAGCTTTTCAAAATCTGCCATCTGGGCCTGTGAAAGCTGAGCAGGAAGTCCAGCTTCCAGGATTGAAGCACTAGCTACAGAGGAAAATCAGACAGTTGAAATTTGAATCCCAGTTTTTTTCTTCTCTATGGAGAATTATTTTTATATATTTGTTCCTGAGCTCAAAAGTAAAAATCCCAGAGAAGTCTCACTTTCCATCTTCCCTGTCTCATGCACCTGGGCGAAACATCACACAGATGCAGATTGAAAATGTTTATATTGCAAATGAAAAAAGGGTGATCATTTTCTAACTCAGATGTGATCCATTTGGATGATTTAGTCTTATGATTTTTTTTTCCATTTTCTTCCCAGATAAGTTCTGTAACAGTCAAGAATTTTAATGACTACATGTAGCAGAAAACTCCTATTAGCTTAATCTACTAATAATAGAGGTTTATTTTTCTCACGTGGCAGCAAGGTTAAATGGAGGCAATTGCTGGTATTGATTGGTTCAGTGGCTTGAAGGTGTCAGGGCTGACATTTGTGACTTTCAGCCTCACCTTCAGATTTGGGCATAAGAGGTCTGACCAAATATTAGACAAATATCTGCATTTGAGGCAGGAAGAAGAGAGAGGATAACATTATTTATGTCTGTCCATTTTATAAATGGAGCAAAAACTTTTCAGAAACATGACAACAGACCTCTAGTTACTTCTCACTGGTAAAACTGAGTCTCCTGGCTACTCCTAGGTGTGGGCTACCCCATGGTAAAGTAGCCTGGAAAGGTGAGGTTTTAGCCTTCATGACATCTGAGTGAAAGAGCAAGAGGGAAAGGGCATTGCTAGAAAGTCTGTCACACTTTCTACCATGTGAAAGAATGACCCCAGGTGGTATGTACCCGCAAATGAGGATAGGTACAATCCAGTAGTTCTCAATTCAGTAGTTCTCAAATAATGGGCAATAGATGCAGGTTAGCAGTAGTTCTCAATTCAGTAGTTTGAGAATTCAGTAGTTCTCAAATAATGGGCAGTAGACGCAGGTTAGCAGTCATGCATTCAATTTAGCAAATACTTATAAAGCACTATGTTATGTCTCCCAAACCACAGATATAGCATTCTTATATAGAGGTTAAACTCTTTTGCTAGTAATGTTCCTCCACCTAGACCTTAACTGGTTAGCCAGCTGGTGTAATGATATCAGTAGGCTAAGGATGGCCAGGTAAAGAGATTACAGGGAATAATGACCTTTGTGCAGTGATGTCAAAACCATACTTCTCCATACCTTTCTTTTTTGTAGATCTGCCTTTCTAAAGCAAATGCCTGGAACTGTATTATGGAGAAAAGAAATTTCAACCCCTTCTCTGGCTCCACTGCTCACTTTTTTCCTACTCCCTTGCAATGGAAGAAGAACTACTAGTATAATTGTTCAGAGCTTGGAATTTAAGGGGTCATGATTTCTAATGGCAAAGGAAAATATGTTTTAATAGGTCCTGAAAATGAAGTTCATATTTCTCCTTTCTGCCCACCTGGTGCTTATGGCTGTATAGAGAATTTTAAACCAGATATTTAGTGTAGACATGGCCATATTGTTCTCCCCATATGTTTAATTTCTTTCCTCTAGATGGCCATCCAAATAATACAAAATCCCAAGACACAAGTTTAGAAAAATATAGAACTTCATCCTAATCTGTATGTGCCAACTCAGCTTTTAATGTAGAGTTTTCTACTATGGATATTAGATTCTTACACAGCTATTAATAAAGTAAGCTTGGTCCCCTTTCCTGTATTATTCATTGTGTATATAGCTCCTTTGGGAATCCCATTCCCTGGAGACTGATACACAGGGCAGGACTGGGAATTTCTGGGTTATCAGGGTTCACGATGTCCCCAGTAAAGATAGGGTCCCCCGGCAGAATGTGTTGCAAGAGATGAAAGAAACACAGGCACAGAAATAACATTTAAGATAGCGGGGAAATCAGGGGACCACCAGCACTCTGGTGACAAGGTGACAGTGACTGAAACCCAGCACTTGCTTTTTATTTTCTTTGCCATGCTGCAAAATACAATGATCTCATGTGAAAAAAATCACGGGATACAATGATCAAAGGACTTGCAGCTCCCCTCCAAATCACAAGGTGTCCTAGCTAATCAGCTTCTCTTTTCTAGAAGTGAAAAACACATAATTCTTCAGTAGGTACAACCTGTCCCAAGGCAAACTAACTAATTTTATCCCAAGCTCAAACTATATAC